CCATGGCTGTCGGAGCCTTTCGCACCAGGCGCACGCTTCCTCGGCAGCGTTCCCTTCAAACTGGGCGCTTGGGTGGGCCCCTAGGAGAAATTCAGGTGCCACCCAGCCGCCGGGCAGAGCACCCACAGCTGGCAACGTGTGTGTCTATTGGTGGTGTCCATCCGCATGCCTCGGTGCACATAAAAAATTTATTATGCACATGGATGGAAAAAATGAGAGGGACCATTGTTCCTTGGCTCAGTGTGCCAGCCCTCCCGGCTGAATGATTAATGGGCAGCCCTACCCTCTGGTGTGATGAAACCTCCAGGAACACGTCCAAGCAAAACTGGCAACCCTATTCTGCTTTGTTTTCCTGCCGTGCTCACCCACCAGCGCCTACCCTCCTCCCCCAGAAGCCCTCTGGGACGGGGCCTTCCGGCTGCTTGAAGCGTTTGTCACAACTCCACTATGCTGGATGCCAGCTGGCTCATCCTTGGAAAGGGCCCGTAATTTAGTGGCTGCCCCTGGGCATGCACGTAGCGTTTGTGTACATTAAGGGAGGAAGACGGGGCTGGGTAGCGGCACATTCCCACGGCACTTCAAGTGCAAAGAACACGGTACAGAGACACAAACGGCACCAAAGCTAAACCGCCCAGGGAGGGGAGGGTCTGGCCATGAACATTGGCCACTGTGTCACTGGGGACCCGGCTCAGGCCTCGCGGGGGCTACAGCTAATCTCATCTCAGCGCACGGATCAGAAAAGGCGAGGTGGCCAACGCGCCGCCCGGCCGTCCCAGAAGACCCCGACAGACACAAGACGTTTGGACAAACGTATGTCGCTAGGAGCCAAGCTGGCGACACAAAGCGTCAGGGTGTCATCGGCCCAACGCCCCCTCACACTTCCAGAGCATCGGGGCAACGGCTCCCCTCCCACCCAGGGCTAGCAGGGCTGGCGTGTGCAGAGAGGGGATTTAGGTGCACTTTTGTGGCACACACACAATGCAGGAGCCAATTTGTCTCTACAGGTCTCTGGGCAGATCTAAACAAGCAGTAAAGGACAAGGTAGTCTGGGCCAGTGGCTGCAGCCTCCCTCCGTGAGGCTGGAAAAGCAGCACAGTGGGGCATGCGGGAGGAAAGTGCATGTGTCTGTCGGTGAGTTAGCGGGTGAGCCGTGCGGCGGCAGAGTGGGGGGGGAATAGGATCAGCCCTGCAGGAAGCGACGACGCTGAGCAGGTCACCAGGGGATACAAGACCAGCCTCTGCCACGAGGCCAAGGCCCCAGGAAGAGGCGCTCGCACAGCCCCCGGGACCGGCAGGAGCACGCCAGGCCCCCCGAGTGCACGTCCCCCATCCCGCCGGGACGGGTGACGCTCGTACGCACAGGCGACGCGCCCTGAGCACTGGCCGCTTTGGAAATGTTTCCAGTTGGTGGCCCCGGGTCACATCGTGACTCAGCAGAACTCAGGGCTCCCCAAACCAGGGCCTGGGCCAGAACCACAGAGCCACCCTCCCTAGGAGCCAGTGACGTGCACCTCCCCACACTAGGCACACGGGCAGGGCTGGGAGTGTGCGTATGTATCTGCGAAGGGGCATGTGTGCACAGAGGTGCATGTGTGTGCGCAGAGGCATATGTGTGTGCATGGGCGTAGGTGCGTGTGTATCTGCGAAGGGGCATGTGTGCACAGAGGTGCATGTGTGTGCGCAGAGGCATATGTGTGTGCATGGGCGTAGGTGCGTGTGCATGCGAAGGAGCATGTGCATAGGTGCATGTGTGCGCGCAGGTGTGTGCAAAGGTGCATGTGTGTGTGCGAAGGTGCGTGTGTGGAGAGGCACATGTGCACAAGACGCTGCCTGCGTGTGCGGAGGTGTGTGCGAAGGTGAGTGTGCGGAGGTGCACGTGTGTACACGAAGGTGCCTGCGTGTGCGCAGGTGCGTGTGTGCGCAGAGGCGTGTGTGTGTGCGTGTGTGCGCAAAGGTGCGTGTGCGGAGAGGCACATGTGCACAAGACGCTGCCTGTGCGTGTGTATCTGCGAAGGGGCATGTGTGCACAGAGATGCATGTGTGTGCGCAGAGGCATGTGTGTGTGCATGGGCGTAGGTGCGTGTGTATCTGCGAAGGGGCATGTGTGCACAGAGATGCATGTGTGTGCGCAGAGGCATGTGTGTGTGCATGGGCGTAGGTGCGTGTGTATCTGCGAAGGGGCATGTGTGCACAGAGATGCATGTGTGTGCGCAGAGGCATGTGTGTGTGCATGGGCGTAGGTGCGTGTGTATCTGCGAAGGGGCATGTGTGCACAGAGATGCATGTGTGTGCGCAGAGGCATGTGTGTGTGCATGGGCGTAGGTGCGTGTGTATCTGCGAAGGGGCATGTGTGCACAGAGATGCATGTGTGTGCGCAGAGGCATGTGTGTGTGCATGGGCGTAGGTGCGTGTGTATCTGCGAAGGGGCATGTGTGCACAGAGATGCATGTGTGTGCGCAGAGGCATGTGTGTGTGCATGGGCGTAGGTGCGTGTGTATCTGCGAAGGGGCATGTGTGCACAGAGATGCATGTGTGTGCGCAGAGGCATGTGTGTGTGCATGGGCGTAGGTGCGTGTGTATCTGCGAAGGGGCATGTGTGCACAGAGATGCATGTGTGTGCGCAGAGGCATGTGTGTGTGCATGGGCGTAGGTGCGTGTGTATCTGCGAAGGGGCATGTGTGCACAGAGATGCATGTGTGTGCGCAGAGGCATGTGTGTGTGCATGGGCGTAGGTGCGTGTGTATCTGCGAAGGGGCATGTGTGCACAGAGATGCATGTGTGTGCGCAGAGGCATGTGTGTGTGCATGGGCGTAGGTGCGTGTGTATCTGCGAAGGGGCATGTGTGCACAGAGATGCATGTGTGTGCGCAGAGGCATGTGTGTGTGCATGGGCGTAGGTGCGTGTGTATCTGCGAAGGGGCATGTGTGCACAGAGATGCATGTGTGTGCGCAGAGGCATGTGTGTGTGCATGGGCGTAGGTGCGTGTGTATCTGCGAAGGGGCATGTGTGCACAGAGATGCATGTGTGTGCGCAGAGGCATGTGTGTGTGCATGGGCGTAGGTGCGTGTGTATCTGCGAAGGGGCATGTGTGCACAGAGATGCATGTGTGTGCGCAGAGGCATGTGTGTGTGCATGGGCGTAGGTGCGTGTGTATCTGCGAAGGGGCATGTGTGCACAGAGATGCATGTGTGTGCGCAGAGGCATGTGTGTGTGCATGGGCGTAGGTGCGTGTGTATCTGCGAAGGGGCATGTGTGCACAGAGATGCATGTGTGTGCGCAGAGGCATGTGTGTGTGCATGGGCGTAGGTGCGTGTGTATCTGCGAAGGGGCATGTGTGCACAGAGATGCATGTGTGTGCGCAGAGGCATGTGTGTGTGCATGGGCGTAGGTGCGTGTGTATCTGCGAAGGGGCATGTGTGCACAGAGATGCATGTGTGTGCGCAGAGGCATGTGTGTGTGCATGGGCGTAGGTGCGTGTGTATCTGCGAAGGGGCATGTGTGCACAGAGATGCATGTGTGTGCGCAGAGGCATGTGTGTGTGCATGGGCGTAGGTGCGTGTGCATGCGAAGGAGCATGTGCATAGGTGCATGTGTGCGCGCAGGTGTGTGCAAAGGTGCATGTGTGTGTGCGAAGGTGCGTGTGTGGAGAGGCACATGTGCACAAGACGCTGCCTGCGTGTGCGGAGGTGTGTGCGAAGGTGAGTGTGCGGAGGTGCACGTGTGTACACGAAGGTGCCTGCGTGTGCGCAGGTGCGTGTGTGCGCAGAGGCGTGTGTGTGTGCGTGTGTGCGCAAAGGTGCGTGTGCGGAGAGGCACATGTGCACAAGACGCTGCCTGCGTGTGCGGAGGTGTGTGCGAAGGTGAGTGTGCGGAGGTGCACGTGTGTACACGAAGGTGCCTGCGTGTGCGCAGGTGCGTGTGTGCGCAGAGGCGTGTGTGTGTGCGTGTGTGCGCAAAGGTGCGTGTGCGGAGAGGCACATGTGCACAAGACGCTGCCTGCGTGTGCGGAGGTGTGTGCGAAGGTGAGTGTGCGGAGGTGCACGTGTGTACACGAAGGTGCCTGCGTGTGCGCAGGTGCGTGTGTGCGCAGAGGCGTGTGTGTGTGCGTGTGTGCGCAAAGGTGCGTGTGCGGAGAGGCACATGTGCACAAGACGCTGCCTGCGTGTGCGGAGGTGTGTGCGAAGGTGAGTGTGCGGAGGTGCACGTGTGTACACGAAGGTGCCTGCGTGTGCGCAGGTGCGTGTGTGCGCAGAGGCGTGTGTGTGTGCGTGTGTGCGCAAAGGTGCGTGTGCGGAGAGGCACATGTGCACAAGACGCTGCCTGCGTGTGCGGAGGTGTGTGCGAAGGTGAGTGTGCGGAGGTGCACGTGTGTACACGAAGGTGCCTGCGTGTGCGCAGGTGCGTGTGTGCGCAGAGGCGTGTGTGTGTGCGTGTGTGCGCAAAGGTGCGTGTGCGGAGAGGCACATGTGCACAAGACGCTGCCTGCGTGTGCGGAGGTGTGTGCGAAGGTGAGTGTGCGGAGGTGCACGTGTGTACACGAAGGTGCCTGCGTGTGCGCAGGTGCGTGTGTGTGTGCGACGGTGCCTGTGCACAGGTGCGTGTGTGCGCAGAGGCATGTGTGTGTGTGAAGGTGCATGTGCGAAGGTGCACATGTGCGCACGAAGCTGCCTGTGTGCGTGGGGGCTGCGGAGGTGGGGGGCTGCGCACGTGGAGGGAGGAAGAGCAGGAAGCCAGCCTGGCTCACAGAGCTGAGGTTTTACTGGGAAGTGTCAGCCATGGGCCAGCAGCGCAGCTCATCCTTCAAACCTGCCATTCCCAGCCCCGGCCCAGCAGCTCGCGGGGCCACCGGGCTGCCCACACGAAGCTGCCTGTGTGCGTGGGGGCTGCGGAGGTGGGGGGCTGCGCACGTGGAGGGAGGAAGAGCAGGAAGCCAGCCTGGCTCACAGAGCTGAGGTTTTACTGGGAAGTGTCAGCCATGGGCCAGCAGCGCAGCTCATCCTTCAAACCTGCCATTCCCAGCCCCGGCCCAGCAGCTCGCGGGGCCACCGGGCTGCCCACGGCACGGCCCCAGGGCCTGCTCGATGGCCAGAGGAGGCCGCCTGGCTCCGTCCGACAGCAGGGCCCTGGCCCAAGGCTACAGCATCGTCTCGTAAGTGGCAAAGCGCCTCTGGTAGCACAGAGCCAGGCTGGACCAGAGGAGCAGGGCCAGCGTCAGGCAGGCTGGGAGAACCCGGCCGCTGCCCCTTCACCCGCTCGGGAGCCTCCGTGGGGACGGCGTTCGTGAGGTTCAGCATGTAGCCCAGGCTCCAGCCCACGTCCACAGCAGCCACCTGAAGGGAGAAAGCAGGAGTCTGGCGGGGCCACTGGGCTGGGCGGGAGCCTTCTTCAGTGGTTTGCACCAATGCAGCACACGCCTGTTCTCATGCACACAGGCCTCAGAGCCCATCCCAGAGCCCCCCCAGCCTGCCCTGGAGCCCTTGCCCGGTCCTGAGACCTGTCCTGGAGTCCTCGCCAGCTCCACAGCTCCCCGCCCCCACTGCCGCTCTCAAACCCGCCCTGGCACCTTGAACACCTGAGGGTCGCGACAGCCAGGAGCAGGGGGCTCGAGCAGCTGTTAATCCGGAAAGCTACCGGTCACACAGCAGCGGAGGGGTCCAGGCAGCACCCAGCTGCCACGTCCCCCAGAGCAGCAAAGCCCGCCCAAAACCTCCAGCTGTCCCGGCTGCATGAAGCCCTCCCCCCACTGGGCACGGGAATGCAGCGTGCCACGCGAGTGCGAAGCCCCAGTGCCGGAGAGACGTGGACAGGATCTCCGCAGCGTGGGGGGCCGGCTGCTTTACTGGGTTTGTTCAGACACTCTCCATTGAGCTGCCAGACCAGATCAGCCCACGCGGCCCAGGGCGGGCCTAGGGCAGCGGCAAGGGACAAGGGATAACTGCCCTGTCCTCCACGCAGAAATCGCATCCTGGCCCCAATCTGCCCAACTGCAGGATCTAGGCCCACAGAGCTGGGGCGGACATGGGGCCTGTCCAGCTGAACCCACCAGCCTGCTGCATGTGGCCCAGCGCCGCTGAGCTGCATTGGGACCCAATGCCCAGACACTCCCTTTGCCCCCGGAAGGAGGACACGTGCGAGAGCCTTTTCCTGCCCTTGTTCATCAGGGCTGGGTTACAGGACGTACAGGGGAGCTTGGGCCCCTGTCTCCTGGCTGCCTCACCTGCCCTGTGGGTCCGGCTGGCATTATGGGAGCGAGAGGGACAGGCCTTCGGGGCTGGGGCAGCCGCCTAGCAAACGCGCCTAGGGACGGACGAACCTGCAGTGGCTGCAGGGGAATTGTAGCCGGCAGGGTGACGCAATGGCCTTTCCAAATTCCCCATTTCTTTGGCTGGGGGCGAGGGGGGGAGGGAGAGGGAGAATATTTTTCCAGATGGCACCATCCAAATACAATCATGCCGTGAAGCTGGGCAGCCACTGGATGGCAGCAGTAAGCCAAAAGCGAGAGCCCCAGTGGGCTGCACTGCCCCGCCCCGTGGCAGGGAAAGGAAGAATCACAGATTACAGCGGGAAGAGCCCTCAGGGGTCCTGGAGTCCAGCCCCCTGCCCAAAGCAGGACCAAGCCCAACTCAATCAGCCCAGCCAGGGCTTGGTCATGCCGGGACTCCAACACCTCTGGGGTGGAGATTCGACCCCCTCCCTAGGGAACCCAGCCCAGGGCTTCCCACCCTCCCTGGGAAAGGGGTTTTCCTCATATCTAACCTAGACCTCGCCCCTGCCACTGGAGGTAAATCACCTCCCTTGCTCCTGGTTCTGTCGTCTGCCACCTCTGAGAATAGCCCGGCACGGCGGGATTAAGACGTGCTGAGGCCCTGAGATGTGTCACATTCGAAAGGCCCCAGAGCGCTACCAAAGAAACGTGTTAAGCTCCAGTAAGGGACACAGGCGAAACTGCACCTGGGAATATTTCTGCTTTTAGAGGCCCCTCACAATCTGAAGGCCCTAAACTTTAGTTTACTTAGCTTGTGCATAAACCGGCTCTGCCTGGCTCCATCCTCTTTGGAACCCCCCTTCAGGGAGCTGAAGGCTGCTCTCAAATCCCCCCTCACTCTTCTCTTCTGCAGACTAAGCCCAACTCCCTCAGCCTCTCCTCATAAATCATATGCTCCAGCCCCCGCCTCATTCTGGTTGCCTCCGCTGGACCCTCTCCAATGCGTCCACATCCTTCCTGTAGTGGGGGGCCCAGAACTGGACACAATACTCCAGATGTGGTCGAATAAAGGGGAATAATCACTTCCCTGCATCTGCTGGCAGTGCTCCTCCTAATGCACCCGAATATGCTGTTAGCCTTCTCACCCCCTGCAATCCCCAGGTCCTTTACTGCTGAACTGCTGCTCAGCCAGTCGCTCCCCAGCCTGTCGCAGGACTCGGCACTTGTCCTCGTTGAACCTCATCAGATTCCTTGTGGCCCAATCCTCCAATGCCAATCCCTGCCCTCCAGCGTATCTACCCCTCCCCCAGCTCAGTGTCAGCCGCACACTTGCCGAGGGTGCAATCCATCCCCTCAGCCAGCTCATTAATATCAAAACCGGCCCCAGACTGGTCCCAGGCCACTCCTCGATAATGGCTGCAAACCAGATATTGAGCCATTGATCACTCCCCGTTGAGCCCGACACTAGCCAGCTTTCTACCCGCCCTGCAGGCCGGGCTCTTTAATTCACTGGCAAGAGTCCAGTGCGAGGCCATTGCAGAAGCTTTGCTAAAGGCAAGGTACAGCGTCTATCCCTCGCCGTCCCCATGGCGAGAGCCAGTGAGCTCATCCGAGCAGGCAATCAGCTCGGCCAGCAGGACTTGCCCTCGGTTGCCCGTGCTGACTGTTTCTGGTCACCTGCCTTTCCTCCATGTAGGCTGCGAATGGGTAACTGGTTACATGGTAAGCATCACCCCCACTGGTAACTGGCAGCCCCCACCCCCCGGTCATGCTGGAGCAGCTCCTCCACCCGTGGGTTCCCGCTTAACCGTTTAAATGCAACATTTCTCGTTAACCGGGATTTCACATCCCGGGCTCCAAGGCTTTCAGAACGGATTCCTGGAGGACCTGCTCCATGGTTTTCCAGGGATGGAGGGGAGGCTGATCTGTCTGGTCCCCTGGATTCTCCTCCTTCCCCTGCACTGGCCTTTTGCCAGTGGTCTGGGTCCTCCCCCGCTGGCCACGCGCGTGCAAAGGTAACAGAAGAGTTCTTCCAGGCCCCAGGCTGGGCCGGGGGAGCAGGGAGCAGACTGCGCAGGGCACCGGGGCCTGATTTCCCTGGGCTGCCCGCAGGGACAGATCCACTTGGGGGGACGACGCAGGCTGCGCACAGTGGACCTACCTGCTGGCGGAACTGGATGTTGCTCCAGGTCTGGTTGGAGAACTTGTAGCCTTGCAGCAGGAGGGTGAGGATGTAGGTGCTGGCACCGCAGTAGTCCTGCAGGCGGGTCTTGTTCAGTGCAGGACGCATCGCCTGCACCTGCGCACATGGGGGGTCAATGCAAGCCTGCTGTTCCCATGGAGACCCTGCCCCCACTGGGACTCCTCCAGCAAGACACAGTCAGCAAGGCCCCCCGGCACCCGCAGACCTGCCATTTCTGCCCCTAGCCAGGCCCCCCCAGGCACTACCAGCCTGGGCCAGATCCAGGCGAGGGACCTAGGGCTCTATCCCATCCCTGAGCCGTGGGCCCTGCCCTGCCTGCACTCACTGGCCGAGACCCTCGGACTTCGGGCCCAGGGCAGGGTGACGGGTCTGAGCCCTGGTTCGGCAGGAGAGACAGGAGCAGGCCAGAGGGTTTCCCCAGAAGATCCCCCTAGAGCCTGCTGGAGCTCGCTGCTTCCAGCCACCTGCCGACAGGCCTCTGATCCCTTCCCACGGCAGCGCCTCGCAGAGGGGCCTCCCTCCCACTCCTGCCTCCCCCGCCCTATGCACAGCCCTGGCTGCCTCCCACAAGTGACGGGGCTCACAGGCGCAGCCAAGGCGGAGCCAGTGCAGCCCTTGCTGGCTCCAGCTCCGTGGTTTCCTCTCTGCTGGAGCCAGGCTTTGCAATCCCCTCTCCACAGCCCCTCTGCTCATCCCTCCTCGCCCCCAGCCAGCCCGAGCATGGCTGGATCCCGCCTCGGCCAGACGCGGGGGGGCGGAGGGAAAGGACGAGTCAGCGCTGCAGCGTGTGGCGACGTGCCAGGCACCTGCCAGGGCGGAGCAGTCCCAGCGGGATGGGGACCAGAACACTACAGGTCTGTCCCCCACCCTGCGGCCCAAGCCAAGGCTCCCCCCCCACAGAACATCCCGGGAAGGGCCACTGGCCCCCTCGTGTGCTCTCGCTTCCTGGGCCCCTGGCTGCTCGATCCTGGCACTGCCCAGCTGCTCCCTGGGGTCTCACCTCCCTCCACTCCTTGGCACAGAAGCGCTCGACGGTGGCTTGGACGTCACTCAGGGGCTGCCCGCTGGTCAGGTTCAGAAAGTGGAAGACGGAATAAAATCCAGAAAAGGCCTTAAAAGCGGAGAGCAGGTTAGCCAGGCAGGCAGCCCTCGGCGACGCCTCCCGCAGGCCAGGGAGCTCAGCCCGGCCCCTCCAGAACCCAGCTCCCCTGACCCAAGGACACGGGGCCTCCCCCCACCCTCCTCTGGGCAGGGCACTGGCACCCAGCAATGGGCGCTGGACGTGGAGCCTCGCCCAGGGCAGGGTCAGCGAGGCCCGTGGGGCAGAGCACAGCACGAGCCTACTAGCCAGCCTGGGAGGAGGGACGTGGAGGGGGGGGCCGCGGAGCCCAGAGAGCTGACCAGGGCGGGGCTGAGGGTGCGTCCCACGGCCCTCCGGGGGGGGCGAGGCGAGCACGCCAGCGGCTGGCTGCTCCAGACCAGAGCGGCGCTGGGCTGAGCTCGGGCCTGAGGCGAAGGGTCCGTGCGGAGTCACGTGCCCACGGTACGTCGGCTCTGCCGCGCTGGCAGGCGCTGCCCCAAGGCCCCTCGGCGTGGGGACATGGTGCGGAGTCTGGGCCCGGGGCCGCGCCGACTGCTCTTCAAGGCCCTTCCTTTGGTTTAGCGTTAGCCAGGTCCAGTCAACGCCGGTTCAGCCAGGCGGCCTGGTCTGAACCCAGGGAAGTCTGCCTGCACCAGCACGTCAGGGCCTCGGCGTAGACGCGGCGGCGGGGGCCTGCACAGGCCAGCCTGGGGTCCGTGGGGCGCCCATGACTCGCTGTCATCATGCCAGAGGCTGCAGTCCCGCCTGGCCCCGCCACGGCACACGTCAAGGCCAGGCTGGGCCCTGCCTTCCCCAGGCTGAGTTAGAGTCTGGCGCCAACTTGAACCTTTTCTCCTTGTCCGTGCGGACAACGCAGCTACTTCCCTTTCCCAGGCGGCCAGAGCTAAGCCCGTAACGCGCCCCCGCGCGGCCCCTCGCGCCCAGCCAGGCATCGGCGCCTCGCCCCCTCGGGAGGGAAATGCCGCGAGAGATGCAGCAACAGCTGGTTCTGCGCATCAGGGCTGATCCTGCCCTTCAGACACTTGCCCTTTGCCCCCAAGGAGAATGTCCCCCCACAGCACCCCCGAGGTCCCGGGGCCCTCCGTCCCCTTAACCCGGCTCCCACCAGCGCAGCCGGAGCGGAGGGGTGACGGCTCCTTACAAAGAACTGCCCGTGCGCCGGCGGCTGGTAGACCCCGTTGAACCC